ATAAAGTTAACAGTTGAAAGAAACCATGAAACTAATGTAATAGCCTTAGATTATTTTACGTATTATTCAAGGTTAACAAAACGACTAAACATTTGAGTAACAAATTTCATTAATTCTAATCTAAAACATGAACAATTTAAATGTTATACTTATTTGCTAAAATAACAGGTAAATATGTTTTTTTATTAAGATTAGCCCACCGCTTGACATACTGTAACGGTAAAGTTAAATGATTATGAAAATTACTACACTTATGGAAACCAAAAATACAGGATTCCGCTTGAAGTGAAATATCTTTTGTAGTAGAAACCAAATGGCATTTGTATTGGAATAACTTCTCCTGTGGAAACCAGGCATCTAGTATTAAAACACCTTTTCCTTTGAAAACCAGCCATGTAGAATCCTGTTTATATTGAACTGCCTTCTCCAATGTAAACTAGGCATCTGAGATCCCGCTTGTGTACCTTTTCCTTTGGAAACCAGATATCTAGGATTCCGCTTGTATTGGAATACCTTCTCCTTTGGAAATCAAACATTTAGGATTCCGCTTGTATTTACATTCTAACATATTTTAGCCATTCATATTATGGTATCTTTATCTTAAAGAATAAACAATTTTAGAACTATGATCAAACGACGTATTTTATTTTCAGAAACGTGTTTAACAATTATTCGTCTTATTAGATGGCAGCACAATACATACAACCTGTAGAAATGTACATAAACGATACAGATAGGGTTTGGATAAATAAATAAAATACGTTTAATACTAAGTGTAATAATATGCTATCAAAAACCGTTAGTATGAATATTTCTCGTTGACCTTTAAGTGCTATATTTTCTAAACTGTTTTGTTTGTTCAGTCTCTAAAATTCATCTTAAAAACCCCATCAAAAGCCTGTCAAAGTACCTCCACAAGATAGTTCGAGTACATTTTCATCTCTATTCCATAAAAGATAAAGAAACCATCCCTATTTACAGATTGGAAATACAATCATAAGAATTAGGCTGGTGCTATCTTCATACGATCTAAACCAAATATTAAGATGAAAAATTGTATTCGCTAGGTGAGGACATTATTGTACACCCACACACATATATATATAGTATTATCTGACGTATCCTTTCAACATAAATGGAAAAAAAAAGGACTTCCGGTATTTCTCTCCTAAGGGAACATGCCAGGTGTGGTGACAATCGGTCATGTAGTTCGTAAATTTTAAGAGGATATGCACAGACTTTTGTAAATAATGGTTTAGAATACGATTGTACAGAAAATAAATAAATAAACAGTTTTCTCTGTAAAGTTAGACTGCATGATGGTTTTTCGAAGGAAGTTTTAAGCGTTCTGTAAAAACTATTTCCACTTCGTCAGACAATTCTTCAACGGTATCGCCTATTATATGGTATCACTTAGTGACTTTTCATTTTATAATAATATCGTCTACTATCACGTAACAATTACTACGTTTTCATTCTACAGTGTTATCGTATTTTTATGATAATATCGTCTACTATCACGTAACATTTAGTACGTTTTATTCTACAGTGTCATCGTCCATTATTAAGTATCGTTTATTACCTTTTCCTAATAGAGTTGATAATTTATTGGTGTTTGTATGACCTTTGTTACTTTGATTATAGGCCTGATGTCAACAACTTCACTACATCTCACGTGTCAAGGATTTAAGGAAAACCATCCATAATTAATTAGAGTTATATATGTTCGTCTACTTACCTGAAGAGTAAAAACATACAAATTACTGATGTAAAGTAAGCATGAACATAGATATACTACCATATTTCTAATAAAATATAGGTGCCTCAAATTAGCAATAATGATGAATTTAAAATAAGTTATACAAACGTCTTAACCTCAACTGGGCCTTCTGCGATCTATCTGCTTAGACATAACTGAACCAAAACTAAATAGAATAAAAAAAAAACATTATCTAAAACCCATCTGTTTAGAGATCACTATACCGAAAACAAAAAGAACGAACAAACCATCATACCAAACATAAAATGTATCAAAGCTACCTTCGCAGTATTTTTGTGTCAATATTGCCTGTTAGTTTTTGTAGCAAGTAATAGGTTTAATAATTCATATATACAACATATTATAGATGTTTGCTTTTTGTCCCCGGTGTGACAGTGGGAAGACTACGACTTGCAATACCCAAGTCTGGAATTCGATTCCCCGCGGTGAACACAGCACATAGCCCACTATCGCTTTACCTTGACAAAAAACAAAAACAAAAAAGATTTGTTTAAAAGTGATATTGTAATTCAAAATGATAACCCATCCATCTTTCAAAAGATGTATGAATAAGAAACAAATATTAATTTCATAAACTCATTGTATGTAATTAAGTTACTTATATAATTTAATCTCTTTATTCAAATCTAATACGGAATATGATTTCAAAAACACAAAATTCCTTTCAATATTTGCTTTCAAAAAGCGATAAAATACATCGTCAGATGACGCTGTGCTCATTTCGTGCGCTTTACTTTCTGTATGCCTTATACTCGGTTGAGTCTGTCCATAGAGAGTCGATCTTCCTTGTAGCACTTTGAGTGGAGTAAAAGTTGAACTGTTTCTCTTGAGATTTAAAGAAAAGTTTTCTTCTCCGCAAAAGAAAAATATTCATCTCACTTTTTGTTTACAGAGGTAAGGAAAAGACGTAACGTATCTTTAGAAATATATTGTTTTGTGATAAAGATTGAGGGTAATATAAAAACTAAAAACCGAACAGATAAATACCAGAATATTCTCATTGTTTAGTTGGATTAAAAGATTAGCCCTGCTGCTGTGTTATTGGAAGTAATTTGCATTAGTGGCAAACTAAAACTGTCGCTTACATTTTTCTTTTACCAAATACTTTTGAAAAGTTTTCAACAAAAATTTAGACACATTTGATGGTAGACCTATCTACTACCTAATCTTTCAGACTCAAACCTATTAAGCTTGTGTAACAAATATCAATCTGATACAATATATTTTTTGTAAGAGTACTCACTAAGTCTTCTGTAGATACCTAATTAATGCAAATATACAAATACTAATGTAGTTTTTGGTTCACCGTATCTTTCAGTTCACCTAGAATTAAGTCATGAAAAGCAAATTACCAAATGTAGGTATAGAATATTACCAAACTATCATCAGCGTTAGGGAAAATGCCATTTAGTTATCAGTATTTCAGGTAGTATAGATATAGCTCAATATTCCGTTTATCACATATTACACACACCCAAAGTTTAATTAAAAAGCTTAAATTCCTATATCTATTGTTACATCATACTTGGCGATATAAGCATTCTAGTCTAGAGCATTATTTTGAAAAACAAAATTATGACTTCTTAGTAATTTTCTTTTCAAAATAGCCCACAATGACTATTAAATTATTATGTTTATGGATAAATTAGTTGAAATTAAAAACATCAGGCATCTAACTAGTTCAATTCACATTCATATTCAGCTGGATATCCTTTGATAATTCCGCTATAAATAAAGATTTACAAGTTTGGTATTTTTAATATCAATATTATTTCATAACTACACTTCTATCGCAAAAAAAAAAGAGTCCCATCTTAAAGGGACTTATTGAGTCCCATCAATCAAAGCACTCGAGTTTACATCCATTTTTAAAGTTGTTTACCGAACTTTTTTATCACATCTTTATTGCGATCGTGAACCCGTTGTTAACCTGTCTGTCTTATTACAGAATCATTTGGATGAATTTTCGTTTTATAATTGTGTAATTATTTGATAAAGACGTTTTTAATTTTTATAATTTTTTTATAATACAATAAATAGGCCACAGTTTTATATTTTATTTAGCTTGTAATCCTGTTCAAAGTTTGTCTTTATAGTTTTTCTAATTGCTAACTAGTCTTCATTTACATAAACATTATATTAATTTCAGTAGAAAAGTCAGTAAATATGTATAAATACAGAATTCTATTTTTACCTCACGACTCTAAAGCCTCCACATACCGAAATCTGATTTAATTCTCTGAGTGTTTCCATTAGAGAATTCGCTGTTAACCTTTTATATCATCCTAACCACCTTTCTATAAATGTTCAAAACAAATAATCCTTATATGGGCATGCCCTTCGCTGAAGTTAAGTCCAGTTCGTAATCAAAATCATATACAAATTATCAGTATATTGGATGAATGTTGCCCTTGTTTATCTTACAGGTAAGGTCTAGAAATGGAAACAGGATGTTTCTTAGATGTTTGTACATTTGTTTAATATATTTGTTATTTACTACCAGTGTATTTGATTCTTAAAAGGTAAAACTCAATATGACAATGTGTGATAAATTTAAGAATACTTACATCAACAGTTTTCTGTTACTCGTGCTTTATGCTCTTAGAATGTGATGTTTTGTTTTGTAAACTACAATAACTTTATAAGTGACACCGTGTCCTGTGTTGTTTAAGGTTCTCAGAAGAAATTAAAGAAGGCTTTAAAGATTATAACTATATTTTCTTCTGATAGCTTAAAAATACAAACACACACATATATATATAACAGCGTTGTTCCGTCGGTATTCTTAAAGGGATTAATACGCCCCAATTAAAAATATTTTTTAACAGTTTTTAATAACAATAAGTGCTTTATGTATAATGTTAATTTATAAAAATATAAACTGAAAAATAATGGTTATCAGGACTGGTTTATTAATTTCTATTTACTTTCTTATTATAAATATGAAACTATATTAAGGGTTAAACTTTTAGAATAGTTCAGTATACCGGGCGGAAAGATCAACTTCAGGAAGCTGGGCTTGTCTCAGCTTAACCGGTTTATGCTGGAACAGTAAGGGTCTCTCATCAAATAAAAGGGTGGAGGTTGGGAGTTCTGTAGAAATTAAGGGTTGCTTAGTTCTGCTCGAAGAATATCATATTGTTGTTATTATTTATCACATAAATTCAAAGGTGGAAGGTTGGGAGTTTCACTTTGTAGAATTGTTATCGGGTTGATTTAATTCTTCATTAAAGTGATTTCTAAATATCATGTATTATTGCTTTCCCACAACTGGCTGCAGACAGCGAAAGGCAGTTGGAGTTGAGACGTTGTGGGTTTAAGCACTCAACTCCTAGCCCTTAACTGATTCTCCTTAGTTGCTGGCAAGTTTTTCATCAGATTTTGCCTGACTGATGGAATATCTCCAACACATTTGGGTCCTATGATCACAGTCATTATCCTTTATGACTTGACGACGAAAGCAAGGAGTGGTAGCAGAGGTGTGGTTTTGAATTTCCATTTTATTATGTTTCTGGTTTATATTAAGTTCATTATTGTTTTATAGTGCTTATTTTAATCGGCTATGAACAATTAATCTATTGCATAGCATTGTATATATATATATATGTGTGTGTGTGTATAGGTAAACCCTTTCTTTGACATATAGTTACAAAGATCCTAAAAAGAGTATTTTAAATAATATTTCTAATTGTAATAAGTGATTTCAAGTTCTTATGTTTTTCTTCTTTCATCATCTTGTTTCAGTTATACACAGGCGGTTATAAGTTATCATTATTTACTTCGATTATTAATAAATCCTTTTTTTTTCGCGTTTCTCTTCATATGAGGACATATTTCCACATTTCAGGATGCATATTCACAGTTCGTGAGTTTTCATATTCCTAACATCCAAACGTTAAGAGTTTCTATAATATTTTGTTCATGTATAAACATCGGGAAGATTCTTTAGACTGAAGAAATTATTGATGCAAACTTTTGTTCATTGTTAAACTGTACTGCATTGTCACGTTCTAGAGAATATTGTAAGATTTTTTTAACGAAACTTGGATATTTTGATGGTCTTCAATTTTTATAACGTGTTCAAACCAATCCGTAGACGGAGAATGCATTGACCACCGGGAAGTTATGTAAGTGTAAGTTTTTCCAAACTCTATTAGTCAAATCTATAAATATTGAATGCAAACATTTTGTACGTGTAATTTTTGACGGAGAATGCATTGACCACCGGGAAGTTATGTAAGTGTAAGTTTTTCCAAGCTCTATTAGTCGAATCCATAAATATTGAATGCAAACATTTTGTACGTGTAAGTTCTGATGTTTGCGACAAACTAAATGTTTTTAATAGCATCATGTCAGTTGCCAGTAGGCTAACTAACCGGAACGTTTGAATAAACCTCATGCGACTACTTAGTCGAAAAAAAAGTTTGAATGTGAATAATATAGTCAAGAGTGCTGTTATTTCCAATATCAATATTACTTCATAATTAACACGTCTATCGTTAAGTCACTTTGAAAACAAAACGATAAAACCTTAATGCTTTCGACGACTAGACCTTCATTGTTATATACCAGTAAGAAGAGAGGTCATCTACTGAAAGTTCTCGCATTTTATCTTATTTAACATTATTCGCTTATTCTATAATTGTTATTAGTTACATATTTAGACAACTGTCTTATTGTCTATCTTCTTTGTAATTATAAATTAAGTTATTATTTCAAGCAACAATATTGTAACAATTTTTGGATTAAACGTTTAACAAAAATATACTGGAAAAATTAAGATTTTGTGTTTCTATTACGTTTAAAGTTATTTTATAACACAAATACTAATTCTATTTGGAAAAAATACGTAAAATTAAATATTTCTGGCATCTTTTCTGTTTCATGCACCGCTTACAAAACAAAGGAAGTATTTTTAGCATTACATATATACCCATGTATTAAAAAGACATCAAGACAATACAGAGTATCTGGTGAAAATATAACAAATCCAATGTGAAAATACAGAAATATTCTTAAATATTTGCTTGAAGAGATCATCATTTCCATGCCTACGGCGCCAAACGAACTTGTTACGTCGCCTCTTACGTCTCTTAACCATATTCCGAGTACTTTCAATTTGCTGCAGAATTCAGAAATATAAATTAAAATTTTGTGAATTGATTTTTAAACTGACAGAAATGAGGAAATGTTTTCATTTAAAAATTTTTTTAATCAAATTTATTTTTTATTTAAATAAACACGTAATTATTTACTAATTAGTTTAACTTGATGTAACCACACATAAACTGATCTAACCCAACAAAAGAAAAAAGTAAAAAAAAATATTTCTTTTCATTCCTCCAAATTTTAATATATATTTCTGAAATCAGCGTTAAAAACTACATTCATGAATAGACATTATTTTCTATTTGAACGCGGTACATGCAACAGAAAAGATCCTATTTCTGATAAACAACTAAGACTGAACTGATCCAATTACTCTGCTCATAAGAAATACAAAAAAGGACTACACTTTAGTTTGCGCTGATTTTATCTATTGCATCTAGTGTGATTATTTGTTCGTTTATTTTAGGGCGAACCATATTCGACTATCTGCTGTGTTCACCATGGGGAATCAAACACTGCATCTAGTGTGAAACTATACTATTGAAAGTCACACGAAGAAATATCGACTAGGGCCTTTGGGAGATATTCTTTTTGGTGTCATAGAAAGACGTATAATTCAAGGTCGTAGGAAATATATCGTTGAGGGTAATAAGGACATATGTTACCGAGGATAACATAAGGTATCTTGCTGAACTTTACAAAAAAGATACGTGTTTCACATTAAAGAAAATATAACTTGTTCAAGTTTAAAAGAAACTTTGTTGTTCAAGGTTATAAGAAGGCTTAGAATCAGGATCGTGCAGTTTGAAATATAAGAGTATAGCCTCAAGGAAGCTAATTAGAAATTAACGTTTCCCTAAATTAGGATATCTTAATTGAAATACTTACCTTGCTTTAGGAAAAGCAAAAAAATATAGACTCAATCAGTAAGTGCTCGTTTAACTTGATGCATTGTGAGGACAAATAACTCGTTATCTTACAAAATGTTTAAAATGATTGTTCACTTGTAAACGTTTTCCGTAATTGTATTAGCTAATAGTAACGAATAGTTTTTATAGTACTACTCACTTTTAATTATCTCTTTACATTTTAATTTCTGTTTTGATTACTAGTGTTTATTTAATTATTATTAGGGAATATTTTGTTATTTCATTTCATTATTTACTAATTGTTGTCTGTTCACTTCAATGGACTAGTCACTTGTTTGGTTACGTCAGCATTGCTGATTATTAATGAGGCCACTGCTAAATAATAATCCATCACTTGGTCGATATAATTTACTAAGTCACATGCTCGTACTAATCACATATGTTGATAAGTTCGTTTTAAAAATTTTACTACTGTGTCAACTTTTTGCTAAACGTATATTTGATAATCTTTCTAAACTTCTTACTTATTTTACGATTAGTTAGACGACTATCTTGTTATCTATCCTCAACGTAATTATAAATGAAGCTATTATTTCAAGCAACTATATTGTAGCACTTTTTGATTTCACGTTTAATCGCTTATTTCACGAAATTTCCGACATTCTTTTAATCAGTTTTTTTCTACATTTATTTTGCATGATGTGTGTTTTATTAAACTAAACTAACAACTGATCTTCTTAGGTAACTTGGATGTTACGTTTTACTCGCTCGCTGTTTTATGCTTTTCCTTTATGTTTTATAGCTCCCTGTCTTGTTCTATCAACGGATTACTTCAAAAGCGCTAAGATTGTAACATGTATCGGTAGTTGATTTTGAAGACTCATAGCGTAGGTAAATTAATATACACGGACTTTTCTCTATGTTAAAATACTGTTATTTGCGAGTTTTCTGCTCTGTTATTGGAGCCTTCATACAAGAAATTGACGAATTGTAACGCGAAACAATATTATGCAACTTAAAATTACAAGGTAATATGTTGTTCAAGGTAACGAAATGGTATCTTGTTCAATATCACAAGAAGATATATTGTTCAGGGTACAGAAAGTAATATTGTTTAAGGTCATAAGTTATTTATTGGTTCATGTTTTTATTCAACCATTTCTGTTTATCACAGTATTCAGTTTTCACCAATACTAGACAGGTCTTGTAAACCATTGTCTCAATTGATAAATCTTTATTCGATAACATACCTTTTTTGGCTTATTCCACAAATAAATGAACCAAAAATGTGAGTGTATGTTTAGTGTAGTAGGTAACGATGTACTGTTGCCCGATGATGGCTACGGTAAGAGGGCCGAAAGCTCGCAAATAAAAGTATTTTAACGTCAAGAAAAGACCGTGTATAATTCTACATGTTAGCCGGTAGTGTTTACATAGCTGATTGCAGAAACTTTATCGTAATTAACCTTTGGGTTTTGCTAATATTTATAGATCTCAGTCTATAATAGCATCAATCACACAAAATAATTGTTTCTTCTCTACACCATGTTATATTGCAAGCAAACTGAAGCCTATCTTCAGGATTATAATGTTATTTTAAGACGATGGCTGACTCCAAGTATCTTATTAAATTCGTTTTTGAACGAAACTACAGTTCCTTTGGTGTGTAATAGCTTTAAGAAAATATCCACACTCATTGATAGCTAGATAGACAGAAGAATTAAAGTTGATATGAAAATAGATAGATCGATTGATTAAACAATGAATAGATAGATAAAACTTCAATACCAGCCTTATTTTGTGTTGGTCCACAGAAGTTCTTGAAGAAAAGAATGGGTTCTTGCTGGTTAATTTCTATACTCTGCTCCGTTAGTCTTACTGGAGTACATTCACACATAATAGGTAAGTACTTTCTTTGTTAAAAGATCTTTATTGTCAAAATAGACAATATTTCCTAGTAGAGTACAATTATAGAGAGTAAACTAGATTATATGAACGTTTGGACAGATGTCTAAAGGATTGTTACGTCTCCGTTTGTTAATTGATTTTCCGTAACTTCGTTGCGACGAAACTTAAGCGACACAAGTTCTTTCTTAATAAAAACTGGTTTATTCTTTCCGAATACAACTTTACCGATACACTCAACTTCAACAATCGATCTAAACAAACGCTATAACGACGAACGTGCTCAATAATACTTCTGACTGCAGATCAATTACTCACTATCTACGCACACATTACATTACCCTCCTCTCGCGTCACGTTGCCCCCTCTTA